AAAAGTTGGGGCCCAAGACTTCTCAAGGGGTCCTGTGAATTAGACTTTAACTCCTAAGTCACCCACTTATTCGCACTCAATTGAGAATCAAGGAGAGCCTAACCAGATTGGAGCAAGTTTGGGAGAAGGAAGTGCAGCGAGTTCAAATCGAAGAGGACAGAGCTTCAAAAAATTAACAGAGGAGGAAGAGAATGATAGGAGACGAAAGGGTTTGTGTTTCAGATGTGATGAACCTTACACTCAGGGTCACATGTGTCGTAACGAACAACTTCATGTGTCGTAACGAACAACCTCATGTGATTCTATTAGGTGAGGTTAAGGAAGAAGAGTGGGATAATCAGGGGAAGGAGGAGGAAGTGGAGGGTCAAATAAATCTACATCTACATGCTAGTAGCATCGCAGGAATGACTTCAAAAAATTCCCTATAATTATAGGGAATAATAGCGGGAAAGAAGGTTATAGTTATGGTGGATTCAGGTGCTTCTCATAAGTTTTTGTCACCAAGTCTGGTTGAGGAGATGAATATTTCGGTAGAAGAGAATAAGGAATATTGTGTGGAGGTTGGGAGCGGTCAAAGGTTGGAAGGCCAAGGTGTTTGTAGAAGGGTGGAGTTGCAGCTGCCCAATTTGAATATAGTACAAGATTTCTTTTTATTTGAATTGGTAGAGGTGGATGTAATTTTGGGATTTGAATGGTTAAAAAGTTTGGCAAAGTTCTCGGCGGATTTGCGGCAACATTTAATAGAGGTGCAACAAGATGGTTGAGTCATTAAAATTAAGTGAGATACAACATTATCTAGAACGGTGGCATCCTTAAAGGCTTTGAGAAAGGAGTTACGAAATGAAGCAGAAGCTTTTTATGTTGAGTTGGGAATGATGAATGTAATTAATGTGGAGACATCCTTTAACTTTATTGAAGAGGCTCCCTGAAAATGTGTAAGAATTATTATCGAAATTCAAGCATATGTTCAAGGAGAGTTCCAATTTACCGCCCAAGAGGGAGTGTGACCATGCCATTGTATTAAAGGAAGGAGCACAGATTTCCAACATTCGTCCCTATAGGCAGCATCCTCATAGCCATGAGGAAGAGATTGAGAAATTTGTTCAAGATATGTTGGTTTCAGGTTTGATTCGACCAAGCACAAGTCCTTATTCTAGTCCATTAATTTTGGTTAAGAAAAAAGATGGAAGATGGCGTTTTTGTGTGGATTATAGGGCTTTGAATAGCGTAACCATTCCGAATAAGTTTCCAATCCCAGTTATCGAGGAATTGTTGGATGAGCTAAGAGGGGCTACCATTTTTTCTAAGTTGGATCTCAAGTCTGGCTACCATCAGATACGCATGCGAGAAGAGGATATTCATAAAATAGCATTCCGAACACACAAGGGACATTACGAATACCTCGTAATGCCATTTGGCCTCACAAACGCTCCTTCAACATTCCAAGCTCTCATGAACGACATATTCCAACCACATTTGAGGAGGTTCGTCTTGCTTTTGTTTTTTCTTTATGATATTCTCATGTACAACAAAGATTTCTTTCACATAGTGGCCATTTGAAGGTGGTTTTTGAGTTGTTATAGCAACACGAACTATGCATCAACGGAAAAAAGTGTAGTTTTTGTGAAAGCCAACTGGAATACCTTGGGCATATCATTTCTGCAGCGGGCATATCAGCTGACCCAGCTAAAATTGCTGCCATGACAATGTGGCCAATTCCTAAAGATATTAAAAGTTTACGTGGATTATTTGGACTCACCAGTTACTACCGCCAGCAATTACGGGGTAATTGCTAAGCCCCTGACACAACTCTTAAAAGAACAACAATTTTCATTGGTCGGATGAGGCACAAATAGCTTGAGATGCTGAAATCTGCTGTTACTAGTCTACCAACTTTGGCCATGCCAAACTTTGAAATTCCGTTTGTGGTGGAAACAGATGCTTCAGGCAATGGGATGGGTGCAGTTCTTATGCAGCAGGGTAGACCTTTGGCTTTTATTAGTCAATCCTTGTCAAACAGAAACAAGGTGAAGTCAGTGCATGAACGTGAGCTTATGGCCATTGTGTTTGCTGTCTAAAAATGGCGACAATATTTGTTGGGCAATCATTTTATTATCAGGACCGACCATCAAAGTTTGAAATTCCTCCTAGAACAAAGAGTTTTGGCTGGGGAGCAACTTAAATGGGTGACCAAGCTTATGGGATATAACTTCGAAATTCAATACAAGCCGGGCCTAGAAAATAAGGCAGTGGATGCATTATCACGAGTAATCGAATATGTTGCAATTTCAATGGTCACCAATGCTGATTTGGTGGAAATATAAGAGCAGGTTATGGCTGATGAGCAACTTCGGGTGATTATGCAGGAACTGGTGAGGGATCCACAGTCACATCCTCAATATTCAGTTTCTAAAGGGTGTCTATGGTACAAAGGGAGGCTTGTTTTACCCAAGGGATCAACTAGAGTCCCACTTTTGTTGTCTGAATTTCACTCTTCCCCATGGGGAGGGCATTCGGGTGTCACCCGGACCTACAAACGCTTGGCTATGACCTTTCATTGGAATGGAATGAAACAGGATGTAGAAAGGGTTGTGGCTGCTTGCCAAGTGTGTCAACAGAGTAAGGTTCAAAACCTTAAACATGCAGGCCTATTACAACCACTCCCCATTCCAAAGCATGTGTGGGAAGACATTTTTATGGACTTTATTGATGGGCTTCCCAAAGCAAAGAATGCAGATACTATCATGTTGATTGTGGATAGGTTGAGTAAGTATGCTCACTTTATTCCCTTATTGCACCCATATACAACCAAGGACGTGGCTTTTATTTTTGTGAAAGAAATTGTCAAATTGCATGGGTTTCCCAAATCCATAGTCTCGGATAGGGATCGTGTGTTGCTAAGTACATTTTGGCAGGAGCTCTTTCGGTTGTCGGACACTTCACTCAAATTTAGTTCCGCCTACCACCCTCAAACTTATGGCCAAATGGAGGTGACCAATCGCACCATTGAAGCGTATATGAGATGCTTTGTTTCTGATCACCCACGACAATGGGTGAAATGGTTACAATGGGGAGAATTCTGGTTTAGTTCCTCTTACAATGCCACTATAAAAATGAGTCCATATAAGGCTCTTTATGGCCGAGATCCTCCTATGATTATCCCATATCCACGAGACAGCACTATCATAGCGGAAGTTGACCAAGAGTTGATGCTTCGTGATAGCATCTTGGCTGAGTTAAACCAAAACCTGCTTAAGGCACAAGGGAGAATGAAAGAACAAGCGGATAAGGGTAGGCGTGAGGTGGAATTTCGGGTAGGAGACATGGTGTACCTGAAAGCTCAACCTTATAAATTGTGGTCATTAGCTACACGCATTAATGAAAAACTCAGTCCCAGGTTTTTTGGGCCATTCAAGATCTTGGCCAGAATTGGGGAAGTGGCATACAAGTTACAACTCCCAGACAGCTCACGGTTACACCTTGTGTTCCATGTTTCACAGTTAAAGAAGGCTTTACCCTCCTGCCAACTGAGTCAAGAACAACCCAAGTTCCTCTCAAATGAGCTTGAATTGATGGTTGAGCCTGAGAAAGTGTTGGCCACAAGGAAATTGTTGAATGGAAAGTGGCAAGTGCTGATCAAATGGACTGAGTTACCCACAGAAGACAGTTCCAGGGAAGATTATGAGGTGATTCAAACTGTTTTTCCCCGATTCCACCTTGAGGGCAAGGTGTGGCTTGTTGGGGAGGGTATTGATGGGCCTCAACAACAAAGGCCTTGGAAATACTACTACTGTAGAAGGGGCAAAAAGGTCACTAGTGGGAATGAGTTTGTTGTGAGTGGAGGTAACTAACTGCCAGTGGCGGATCTTCTTCGGAGTTGAGGGGGGCCGTGACCCCTATCAAAGTTTTGTAAATCCCATGTAATTTATGATTTTGGCCCCCCCAAACTTAATGAACATTTAATATATTTATTTATTTATTTATAATTTTATTCTCTCAGTCCCTCCTAACTCATATAATTTATTATTTTGTCTTTCTCAAACTTAATGATCATTTAATATATTTAAGTATATATCTACAATTTTATCCTTTTACCCTTTCATCTTCTTTTTTCTTTTATATTTATTTATTATTTATTAATAATATATTATTTGGCTCCGTCAAGATCAATGTTCAAGATATGCTACTGCTAACTGCACACGTGGCAGAGGAGGGTTGGGGGAAAGGAGATGCGGGAATACTTAGGGAGAAAAAGAGAATAAAGAGTGGGAGTGTGGAGGAGGATAGGGGGGGAAGGAATTAAGGGTATTGTGGGGTGACTGTTGTTACAAGGCAGAGAACATTCTCTGATTTATATTTTCTGGTTTCAGTATTTTTCTGTTCCGCTGCTGTTACCTTTTCGATTCAATAATACCAGGTCCTATCAACCTTTATAGTTGTTTTCAAATAGCAGCTGCAGTTGCCACAGTTGCCAGCCAAAATAATTTTATGGAAAATCTTTTGTGAGGGAGGCGTTTAGGCAACATAGACGCTTTTTGATAGCACTAAAGATAAATATTGTCATGTGTCCAGTTCTTGGCAGTTGTTTTTGTTGTATTATTTGTTTCATAAATCCATTAATGTTTCTCTATTACGATGATTTTTTTTGTGAAAAATGAAAAATATTTGGCCAAATGATTTAGTTTTGTTAAATGCTTGTCATTAGTGCTTTCTAATGAGGTCATAAAGTTTTAGTTTTAGTCGCTGTCTTTGGCTGCCCCTTTCCTTAATAAATTGTTCAACCTATATTGTCTCTTATTTTTTCCATAAGTGGCACTTATGCATATAGTGCATATGCATATATTCAAGCATTATAATTAAGTACTGAGATTCATTTTCACCAAAAATATTGCAATAAATTGTGTACGTTAATATTATGTTTTCTCAATTACATTGCTAAATCAACTTTGATTACAACATACAAAACTTCTCTTGATGTGTCACATGTTTCCAACATAAACATGTACGAGACGTGTTACACACTTCTCAATAAGTATTTAATTAAGAAATTATGTTTGGGCTTTGGTACCTCCATGAGTTATAAAATCATTTTTGTTTTGGAAATTCTAAAATATGAACTTCGAATATAAAAGATATTGTATGTCTATTTCTTGTGAGACATCATTATCAAACGAAGGTGTATATACAAGGCTTGTTTTCAATTTAAATCTTTTTTATATGTTTGTTATAGTCCATGAATCATTGATTTTGATGTTATTTCTGACTGAAATGTTTTCTATCTTATACTGAATTCATTAATTTTGTAGATTTTCTAACATGTTATTGATTTTGCTCTCAGACTTGCAGCAAACTGGCCCTCTGTAATGCAAATAGTTCGGCTTATATCTCAGGACCACATGAATAACAAGTAATTTCTTATTTCAACGATTGTCCTGCTCATCTCTAGACAATATGTTATTGATATTTTCGTTGATGTTTTCTCTTCTTCTAGACAATATGTTGGAAAGGCAGATTTCCTAGTTTTCCGGGCAATGAACTCTCATGGGTTTCTTGGTCAGCTGCAGGAAAAGAAGCTGGTATGTAATCATTGGGTGTTTCTATTTTTCCCATTTCCTGTAATGCCTTACACAATCAATTTCAATTGTTTCCTGAATTTTTATCCTTGATGTCTTCTCTCAATTTTGCTCATGAAAGATAGAAGAAATTCAGGTTTGGTACTATGAACATAGATCAAGTCTCACATGATTCGTATTGCTTTCCTTTACTATCAACACACTGTTTATCTAAAGAATTACCATATGCCTGTGGGCCATTTGTATCATTTTTTGCTGGTGGAATTTTTTGTGGTGCTGAATTTGTTGTCTGATTTCAGTGTGCAGTTATTCAATTACCATCACAGACGTTGCTACTATCTGTTTCTGACAAAGCCTTCCGCTTGATTGGGATGCTTTTTCCTGGGGTAACATTTAGTTGCTGTTTTGAGGCTCTATTATAATTATGGATCTGTTATACCCTGCCTATTTACGTGAAGCCTTGAATGCTTGGCAGGATATGGTTGTATTTAAGCCACAATTGTCCAGTCAGCAACAGCAACAAATGCAGCAACAGCACCAGCAGATGCAATCACAAAAGCAGCATCTTCCACAGTTACAACAGCAGCAGCAACTTCCTCACATGCAGCAACAGCAACAACTCCCTCAGCTGCAACAGCAGCAGCAGCAGCAACTTCCTCAGTTGCAACAACAGCAGCAACAACTTCCTCAGCTACAGCAGCAGCAACAGCTTCCTCAGGTCCAACAGCAGCAGCTCTCTCAGTTGCAACAGCAACAGCTTCCACAAATCCAGCAACAGCAGCAGCTACCTCAGCTTCAACAACAACTTCCACAACTACAGCAGCAGCAGCAGCTTCCACAATTACAGCAACTGCAACCACAGCAGCAACAGATGGTTGGTGCAGGAATGGGTCAAGCCTATGTTCAAGGACCTGGGCGGTCACAGCTGGTTTCTCAGGGACAAGTTTCTTCCCAGGGAACAACAAACATTGGTGGAGGGGGCTTCATGAGTTAGCTCAATTCTTCATCGGTTAGGGTATGTATTTGTATGAAAATAGAACTTCTGTGCTATAATGTTTTAGCTCGTAATTGTCACTCTCTGATGTCTTTATCACAGATAAAAAATAGACTTTATATTTGATTTTTTTTAGCCATTAGTTAATATTGAAAGCGTGCTAGAAAGCTATTTTGAGCGTGTTAATTTTAGAGTTTGGTAGAATTGATTTCAATAAATAAATATTTGAACTGGCAAAGGTAACTGGGACGTGTGTAGGATTTGAACTATGATTAGCAACCAAGCACAGTGTGTTAAAGTCGTGATTTTTTAAGTAGCTAGTTCGAAAGTAACGCAAGTTTAGATAGAACGATCTATGCATACTTTTAATACGTTGAGTAAAGATGAAACATGAAAATTTGCAAACAATGCGATTTCTTCTCTTGTGGATAAAAAATGCTTTTTCTTTTATTTCCTATTTTACCTTTTTCTTCCCTTTCCTCATTTCCCGTCACCATTTGTCTCCCTCCATCCATGGCAGCAAGGTTTTGCACCTGAGAAAATTTGATGTCATGATGCTTTGATATGCTTTTATATAAATAAGTATAAAGTTTGTATGCGTACGTGTTCATTCGAAGTAAGAAAAAAGATGGGAAAGTTAAATGTGTTATTGAATGATAATTACGTCATTATATAAAACAAGTCACGCAAATTAACCCAAATAAGTCAGGTTAGTTTTCCTCTCCAATCTTGTGTCTTGAGAAAGAAAAGCACATTAAATGCACTATTCCATCATACCATTAAGGAAATAAGGAGAAATACGTAAAATTGTATTTGTATTATGATAGGTAACATTCTTTCTTAATATTTATACACATAAAATGTCTATTAAGAAAAATCATTCCTAAATAAATTCCAGCATTTAAAAAGATAATCTTTTACCTAATAAATGAGGAATACCCAAAATTAATAAAAAAAAAATGTCCTAGTTGCACTCATTGTGCCTGTACTAAATTTATGTGGTTGCAGGTTGCAATTTGTGTGGTGAGTTGAGAGTTGAGTGCTTGTGTCTTCCTCTTGGGAACGAAAAAGACATTCATTTTGCATAGCATAATGCCTTTAGTAAAAGGGCAATGATGTGTAGGATAAGTGAGGTTGTTTATCTTTTCAAAAGCATTGCAAGTAAAAGGAAGACTAGCATATATATCATTCATAATGGAAAATTATTATTATTATTCAATGGATGTTTCACTCTAAATTTGCTATGATAATATCGATAATATCTGTTTTGAATTGATTAAGGAGATGCTTAATTTTTGGTACACGCAAATACATCTTTTTGTTAAATTTCACGTTAGTCTGAGATGAAATAAGTTTGTAAAATAATTTTATATGAACATTTGGTTTTGGATCATCTTCACATTATCAAAATGTGGTTTGTTCTATGGATAAATTTGAATAGCTCATAACACAAATTAGATTAATTAAATTTAATTAGAGTGAACTGATTTTATAAAATAATAATTATATTTTAAAAAAGTAATATCATATATATATATATATATATATATATATGAATAAAATTTATATTTAAAAAAATATTTTTATATAATTTATTGACTTTTGAAAATGGTTTCTATCGGATAGAGTTGATAATTAATGATGGGTTTAATCTATACTTGTCCGATTTGAAGAATTAGTGAAAGACACGGTTCATAGGTTGTTCTTTACTTTATTATTAATTGTGGTTTTCACTTTAAAAGCAATACAAGAAGCATAGATCCCTGTTTCATGAGATCTCCTTCTCAAGATTTTTCATCCATAGACTTTCAAAAGCAAAGAAATTAAAGAAAAGTTGTGTAGATTTGATGCCTGTTAATCAGTGGCTCCTTCTCAAAGAAGAATAAAGGATCCTTCCCCTTCTTTGTTAATTGAGTTGGATTGTTCTCAGGGTATATGTGCTTATGCTTTCTTAATTTCTTATCAACTATCTTTTTCATTTTATCAATTGAAATTTATTATTATTTTTTTAAATCAGATCCATCACCTATTAAAGATACCACAATAGGATTAAATGATTTAATCGGATACCATCAGATTTAATAAAATAATATTTTTATAATATAATAAATTTATTAATAATAATATTTTTTTTATAAAAAATAATAAAAATTATTATTATCATAATTATTGTAAATTATACTAAAAATTATAAATATAAAATATATTAAAAAGTGAAAAATAGATAATTGTTAAAATAAGATAAAAAAAAAGTAAAATATATTATATTTTTTTATTAAAATCGATTAAACCCAAAAAATAGTCAATTTTTTCGATTTTATTTGAATTTAATTAAAAACAATACACTGATATCTAGCACCGTTCTTAGTTCAACCAATTGAATGGTCAGATTAAAAAAATAATAATAAATAAATATTATTGTTCTACATTATTATGGGTAATTAATTTATTAACTTATTTTCCATAAAAGAATCAGGAACTTATTGCAATTTATTATCCACGTACATCTATCATATTTTTATGTAAATATAGAAAAAAGAAAAAAACTCTGTAAAACAAATGGTTAACATAAAATTATAATAAAGGTAATTTTTTATTGACAGAATATAATAAAGATGATAGATTGATTGATGCAATTTGAAAATTTGGGGATAACTGAAGTTTTGAAGGGGTACGTATTTGGCCTCTCATAATGTCCACAAAATACAGGTTCATTGTATTGTTAAATTTATGTTTGCGAAAAAACATTTAAGCAACTCCTAAATTAATGTTCTGTCATGTGTGAGAGTTATTATTAGTTTTTGGAAATTCCTCACATCAAAAGAAGAATAAAAAACAAAACAAATCATAAAAAAGAACACTGATGTGTGAAAGATGTGATGTGCGACAGTGGATCCTCCAACAAAACACCTACATCATTAACTAATGTGACTCATTTACTTTACCATATATTATTTGCACTTTCTTATTAATATTCTTCCAATAATTAACATGTTTCCAAAATTAAAGTGATATTTTTATAAGTTCAAAATTTGTCTATTTATAAAAATATCATTTTATTTTTATCTTCTACAAAGATTTTTGTTTATTATGTAAAGTTTCTCCAAATTGTTAGATAAAAAAAAAATCAATGTACGTGGTACGTATTCAATAAAAAGGTAGCAAAGATAAAAGTTTTTTTTTTTTTTACAGCGACATAGAGAAAAAAATATGTCGTAAAGACATTACATGGACATGTTAAAATAGAAACAATGCCATTTGTTTATGTACTTTGGGCATTTAAAGTTATTATATTTACTTAATTACGTTTTTAGTTTTTGTTTTTTTAAATTTAAAATTTCTTCTGTACCCTTTCCACCAAGCCTTGAAGAGTCAATTATTCTTACCAAAGTTTTTACATTTTTTTTAGTTATTTTCCCAAACCGTTAGGAAAAAAAATTCAGCTTTAGTATATTTTCAATTTGTTTATTTAGCGTTTAATAAATCTTTGTATATTGAAAAATAAGTAAAATAACCGAAATTCTGAACATGAAATTTAAGTGTAATTATAATTTCAGCCTAGAATTACAATTTTCTAAATAAAACATATAAATTATTATTATCATTATTGTTTCTATCTTTTTTTCATATAAATTAACACTTTTTTGTTATGGCAAGGACACTCAAACCGTGGAAACTCTCCACCAGCTTCGTCTTAAACTTTAATCATTAACCAGAAATTAAGAGCTTTGTTTTCACAAGGCCTTGGTCAAGAAGGTAATGATGAAATGTTCGATCCCTTTCACTCACCAGAAAATGTTTCCATCACTCGTCTATTCCAAAATTTAAACAACATTTTTTAGAGGTCCTTAGCATCAGGGGAAAGTTCACATTTCGAATTGATTATGTATCATCCATTATTAGGAAGGACCATTACGTTACACCAATATATAATCCTATACCAATTTACTTACCCCACTAAAAAGTTAAAAAGTTTTTGGCTGAACCTAACACCAGCAAATGTTACTCATAAATATAATGATTCCCTGTGTCATCTTTTAGGAAAAGTAATCCTTACAAAAAATACTCCTTTGTTTTAACATATATAATAAGGTTGCTTTTAAAAAAATAAAAAATAAATCAAAGTTTACTATTGCTATTTGTTATGTGTGAACCTTTTTTAACTAAACATTTTGGATGGAGAGAAAACTATATTACTCTACAAGTTTCAATGATGTAGGTGGCCAGGATTTGAACCAGGTACACACAAAAATGTTACCAGAAGAAAGTGATGAAAACTGGGCTTGACTTGATGCTAGTGGATTTATCTCATTAACTCACAAAATTAGAGGGATATTGTGTCAACCAAAACAGTTACCACAATGCTCCTATATATTGACTATTGACTAGTGTACAAGAATGTTCCATAGACGGTTGGTGCTGATCTGTTCATCATAAATGCATAAACTTGACACAGTTTATATAGCATCAAACGCTTCATATAGAGGTTTATACACATTTCACCAGCACTCTTCAAGTCAAGGGGGACCTCTTTCTCTGCTCTAATTTGGCAAGTCAAAGCAAAATGGTCTCAGCTTCTTCTCTCCCTTCCAAGGAAATGGTATTGTACTGTTATCAATGTAGTCTAGTCAATATTTGTAGTCTAAACTACACTCTTTTGTTATGTCAGTTTTTTTTTTTTTTCCTATTCTTATTGCATGTTCTACACTTGTAGGAAGTTCAATCAGATCAGAAATGCGTGGAGAATGGTCCCTCTCGCAATGCCAAATGGTGGCACTCAACTTTTCACACTGTGACAGCCATGATTGGTGCTGGTGTTCTCAGCCTGCCCTATGCCATGGCATACCTAGGATGGTAAAGTGCAACTCTATGGCTTGATGTCTTTGACTTGCCACAGACAAGGTGGCAACTTGAGCAATATGTATTATGTAACTGAAAGTTAAATCTTTTTCTCTTTTTCTCTTTTTCTTACTTATCTTTGAAGGGTGCCAGGGACCTTGATTTTGTTGTTAACTTGGTGCCTGACCTTAAACTCAATGTGGCAAATGATCCAACTCCATGAGTGTGTTCCGGGAACCCGGTTTGATCGTTACATTGATCTTGGTAGACATGCTTTTGGACCAAAATTAGGACCATGGATTGTGCTCCCCCAGCAACTGATTGTCCAAGTTGGGTGTGATATTGTTTATATGGTCACTGGAGGGAAGTGCCTAAAGAAGTTCATGGAGATTGCATGCACCAATTGCACTCAACTCAAGCAGTCTTACTGGATTGTCATTTTTGGTGGCATCCACTTTTTCCTGTCTCAGCTTCCCAATTTCAATTCTGTTGCAGGGGTTTCTCTAGCAGCTGCTGTGATGTCACTAAGGTAATTCTTGATTTCCACATTTCCAGGGGAATTTCCATAATGGTCCCAAAATGTTAGAAACCATTAGTAGCTCTTTTGCAGTATAGAGTATTTATCTTATTGATTAATATGAAATGGATGGTTTTGATGCAAGGATCATTTTGAGCTTTATACGTTTTGGGACCATTGGAAAAGCCACCCATGTCTTTACTTTTCTAGCACTAGTTTTCGAACATGATTAATTTTGTTCAATATTAATCAGTTTTGAGTGCTTGCAGAGCTGGCTTGACATTTTGTACCCATGTAAGGAAGATTCCATGGAAAAATATTGTTTGGATTCTTCGCAGAATAAGTTATACAAGTGAAAACTGGAGAGCATAATGTCCTGTCCCCGAAGATCAGAATTTTATAGGAAGCCTAATATTTTGTAGAAAGATATCAACAAATTTACCCTTTTGGTTATGCTTGTGAACAAGCAGAACCACATGGCTTTTAAAACTTTGCAGGGTCGGTTGACAAAATCGAACTTACAGAAAAATATCTTTGCAAGAACATGGTTGGATTGGATTAATGGAAATAAAATATAGTGTATACTATTTTGACACTCATTGTTTTTGTGAATCCAGTGGCTTCTAATTACGTTGTAATTCTTATAATCTATAATGCCTTACATAGTTTGGTCATGTCCAAAGAAAAATAAAGGTTTGATCACGCTCCCATGCACGGACACATATTTAGAATAACATGTTAGTTTAACAAATAAAACTTTAACTTCTGGTTCTTTTATTCACTAATGTATATTGTTTCTAATTTCAACAGCACTACTTAATCTTTTTGTGTTTTGATGGCAGCTATTCAACTATAGCATGGGTGGCATGTGTGGCTAGAGGTCGTGTTGACAATGTTAGCTATGCATACAAGCAAACCAGTTCTACTGACTTGATGTTCCGAATCTTCAATGCACTTGGTCAAATTTCATTTGCATTTGCTGGCCATGCAGTGGCCCTTGAAATTCAGGCCACCATTCCATCAACCCCTGAGAAGCCCTCAAAGATACCAATGTGGAGAGGTGCTATTGGTGCATATTTCATCAATGCTATTTGCTATTTCCCACTTGCACTTGTAGGGTATTGGACCTTTGGAAGAGATGTTCAAGATAACGTGCTTTTGGAATTTGAAAAACCTGCATGGCTCATTGCCTCAGCTAACTTGATGGTGTTCATTCACGTTGTTGGTAGCTACCAGGTAACAACACAACACTAGGATATGGTATTCCTCTTCAAATTAAACTACTATAGTATCTAACTTTATCAACTTGGAAACATTGGATTCCAGGTTTATGCTATGCCTGTTTTTGACTTGATTGAGAGATTGATGGTCAAAAGATTGAACTTCCCTCCAGGATTATCTCTTAGACTTGTCGCTAGATCAGCTTTTGTAGGTGAGATTTCTAAACCATCTACTTTTTGGTTTAAGAAAACAAGTATCTTCTACCTAAACCAATTTTGCTCCAACTGGGTAGGACAATTATGGATGACAAAACGATTCTTCTGAGTAATTAACATAACTGCATACTCTGAACTCAAATTTGATACGGTTAATTAAGCTGAAATAATATCATATCAGTTGGGTGATCTTCAAAATCATTTATGCTGTCACAGCAAAGCTATTTCTCTCTCACAGATATTTTGTATGAACATTCTTGAACTGACCAGAGCTTGTTAAATGTCACAGCTTTTACATTATTCGCTGGGGTCACGTTCCCTTTCTTTGGTGATCTTCTTGGGTTCTTTGGTGGCTTTGGTTTTGCCCCTACTTCATACTTTGTAAGGCTCTCTTACCATCTCATTTCCTCATGCTTATATCAAAGTACCAAATTTACAAGAGTTAATTTAGAACTTAGAAGATTAATATTGGTGTATTTCGGTTGTTCAGCTTCCTAGTGTAATGTGGCTGGTAATCAAGAAGCCACAAAGATTCAGCATCAACTGGTTTATCAATTGGGTAATGATTAATTTTTTTTCAACATTTCACATAGAATGCAAAATTAGATTATCACAGTGTTGTTTTCTCTTGGCATTGACCCTCAATTTTGTGTTTATCAGGGTTCAATATACATTGGAGTGTGCATAATGTTGGCATCTACTATTGGTGGCTTAAGGAATATCGTTGCTGATTCATCTACTTATAAGTTTTACACCTAAAATATTTTATATTATTGCAAACTGTGTAAGCAAGCATAAGCAATGAATCTAGTTGATTCTGGAGTTGGTGATTATCCATTTTATGGTATCAGTTTAAGTCTTTAAGTCTATCAGTTTATTTATTGTCTTATTGTGATGTTAACTCATTTGATGTGTGCAATACTTTATTTTTGTGTTTAATTAAGCCCCATCAGTACCAAGGATATATAATACATGTGAATTTAAAATTCATTTAAGCAAAATGTAGGACAAAATTAAGCATCATTTCCCTAGCTTTTACTTTCATAAAATTCCAAGGCTTCCAAAAATAAAAAAGAGAACTGGTTTCCTCTTGTATAAGAAGCATTTTCCCCATATCGCAACTGTTTACCCCAAGCCAGCTTGAGGCAGAAGATGAAATGAAGAAAGGGGAGACAAATGAAACTGGGTAAAGGAACAACTTTTGCATTTACCTTACCTTCCACGTAAATCATTTTTAGATATTTAAACATTAATATTATTACATCATTTTTAAATAAATTAAATTATTTAAAAGAAAATATTAATATAATAGTGAAAAATATTAATACGTTATAAAAAATAATATTTTGATTGTTAATAAAAATAATTATTATGATGATTTTTATTTTACATTATTAAATTTCTTGTTGCAATTAAGAGTAATATGTCGAATATATTATATTCATTAAAAATCATATATATCCTAACCGGCATCTTCAGAATATAATCAAATATATTAGTTTTTTTTTTTACTTTTTAGTGTATTTTGTACTTTTTAATATATTTTTTATTTTTTCATCACTATATTCATTTTTTAATAATTTAATTTATTTAAAAATTATTTAATAATAATATCTAAATACCAAATTTTTCTTATTTTATTAATTATAAATATCAAAATAAAGATTTTAATTATTAAAAAAACTTAAAAATAAAACTAATTGAAGTTAATAATTGATTGACAACTTCATTTAAAAATTTTTGACTGAAATCTTTCAATAAAATATTATTAAAATCATAGATTAATATAAGATTTTTATATTAAAAATAATTATATTTTGAAATAGTGGAGTTTCAAAATATAACTGACTTATATATTTTTTTTAATTTCCATTTTAGTAAAATTGAAGGGAGATTACACCTTTTGGTAAATTTGTCATTCTCTTCTCTATTACTTACCCTTTGATTATTTATGAGATAATCACTGTAGTAAAATTTTATATTTTGTTTTGGTATATGTCCAATAGAATATGTCTCTATTCTTCATCTTTTTAAATGTTTCAAATTTCGTTATTATAGAAACAGGAAAAATCTAGAACAAATATTATTATATTTATCATTAATTTTGATATCACAAATAATAAAACATATTAAAAACAAATTATTGGTGAAACAAATTCTCTCATATTATACATAGTTTAACAGATAAAAAAAAACAATTATAATCTAGTTATAAAAGTTTATATAAATTCTTAGTCAAAATAACATGAAAGTGTTAGAAATAATTCAAAGTTTAAGAAGTTGCTAAAATTTTGAAATTAGTTAGTGGATAGAAAGTTAATTTTGCTATTTGTTATATATAAGCTAGTGAAGATGTATTGTTATTTTGTGCAATTTTTAGATTTTTCATTTTATATATATTATACTAAATATAATAATTAATGAGATACATAAAATAGACAAAATATAAAAAATAAGACAGAAAAAAATGTTCTTTAATAATAAAATTAAAATGTATAAATCAAACCCGAATGACAAGGCAAAACATTCACATAACATAAGTTGAAATCCACCTAATGGAATTGCAAATAATAGTTTGATAATAAATAAATATAGATTTCAGGAACTCTTATAAATTCTAATTCTTTTTGTATAACAAGTTGAAATGTTCTAAATTTTTTCTTTTCAGGTGCCAAAGTTCATTTGTAGTACACGTGTCGTTTTCTCGGTCCACCAATTTCAATCCTAATTTTCCATTTTCCATTTTTTGTCTTGCTCCTCCTCATTTATTTATTATACTCAGAAAAACTACAAAACCCAAAAGAAAAGGAAAAAAGAAAAATAGAAGAACTAGAACAAGAAAGAAGAACAAAATGAAGAGTGCGATTTGTGGGAGAATTCTCTCTCCCAATCATGTCTTCAAACCAGGTTCATCTCTCTTTCTTCTCTCATATTTTGTTTTCTTTGGCACATCGACACTGTGGTTTCTTCAACTTTCTGATGTGAACGATTTTCTTTCGTACTGAAATATATTTTTGAAGGGTTCTCGAGTTTCGGTTGCTCGGGGGAATTGGGGTTTGGTTTATTATTTTGTGTGGTTTTTACTTTACAACAAAAAAATCAAGATTTTGGTTGTTGAATCTGTTGACTAGTGTCAATGTTTTAGCAATTGGAAGTTGTTTTGAAGCTGGTTGATACAGGGATAAATCGCAATCTTTGGAAATTGGGTTAGCATAGTGTGGTTGATTTCATGCGGTGATTTCTTCCCTTGCTAGAATTACGGGTGTGCTTATTATTTCTAAGAATTTTGGTTAAATAGAGTAAGCCTTTAGGGAGTGTAACTGATTGGGCAGATTGTTTTGAGTTCCCCTGATGAACTGAAAGTGACCCGTGTGATTGTCTTAACAGTTGCACCTGCTAGAATGGAAAAATGTCATTGATTCTCTTATTGTACTGTGGGAGCTAAAATGCAGTCCCAGATGATTGTGTTCCTATATATTCTCAAATTAGGTATATCTATGAAAAAGTAAATTGATGTGTAATCATTAGGCTGATGTTATACTTTATAAGTGAAAGTGCCTGAGGTTATGAGTAGGTTTCACTTAGACATGAGCAAAAGAGTAATGTTTGTTGTTAGTGGTATATAAATTGATTGACACTGGGTTTAGTAATGTTTTTCTTTTTTCTTTTTCTTTTTTGATGATTTTATTTTTGCATTTGCAATGATGAATTAATGGGAAGTAATAGCATTTTTATGATAGATCTTGCGGATGATTGTCGAATCTTGATGTATAATATTTTACTGTTTGTGTGTGTGTGTGTGTGTGTGTTTTTTGTATAGAACGGATTTTATAAGGAAGGACAACCTTAGGTGGTATGTTCACCTTTATTCCGCACAATTATTCGGCCAGGTTATGAGTATATCGAGGCTTGGTGGCAATGCTATCCAATATTACTAAAAATTTGTCACCTTGTATTTTTGTCAATCAGAACTGGAAGAAGAACATATCATTAGAATATAGTAAACATCGTTACTTAAATTTGAGTCTTGGATATGAGTTCAAAAGAGAAAGTAACATTGATCAAATCGTGTGGATTTGGTACGGGATGAATTCTTTGGAAATGAGTTAATGCTATTAAGCTAGTCTTGCTTGTTCTAAACTGGTCTTAGTATGTTCCGTTAGAATTCTCTCCCTTCCATCTTGTGTATTTGATCATTGTCTTTGGCGAAAAATAAACACACCCGCACTAACTATTAGTAGTAGTCTCCATGAACTAACTAACAACATTTTGTTGTTAGTTTAATAAATTTTGTTTATCATGCAATAATCATGTTTTCCTTACCTAATTCATTCATGTTGATCTTCACATCATTTTAAGGTATGAAATATAAAATAATACCTCAAAACATTGATCTTTTATAAATTCCAATCTTATGATATGTTATTAGTGATAAATTGATTAATAGAAATTGTTGGATCTTCCAACAAGCTTGTTACCCAGTTGGCATCTCAAATCTTTTAAGATTTTGGTGTGATGAAGTCAAGAAGTTCCATTTCCATCAGGCTGGCTACCATTCTTTCCTATCAAATACTTTCAGCTCATATTCAGTTTACCAGTTAATTCTTAGATCCAGATGAAATGATTCTTTGGTACATTTTGCAAAATTTGGGAGGAGAGTTTGAAGATTTAAAAGTTCGTGGTGGATACTCACTTTCATAGTTTAAGACTTAATTGGTTTATACACTGCACTTTTTTTCAGAGCCATAGTTTCCATTTCCTTATGCTAAGTTCAATGTTTATGTATAATGTCTCTCCCACTCCCATGGAAGATCCTGTACTTTTTCTTATTTAAGCATATTTTGTGATGCCATTAGAAATCCATTCCTAATAAATATTAACGTCTGGAGTGCTTTTTTCTGATCCATATCATATCACATTTGTTTCACTATCAATTATGTGATTGAAATATTTTAGTATCCATGAAACCGTGTTGTGTCCTATGTAATGTTTGAGTGCTTCAACTATACATATTGAATATTTGCATTACAGGGGACACACATTCATTTTGTAAAGGACCATACTCCAATCTTTGCGTACCCATGGCTGTATTGGCAACAGGACTTGGTAAAGGAGGAGGGCTGCTGGAAAAGCCAGTTATTGAAAAAGTCACCCCTGGCCGTGAGTCTGAATTTGATTTAAAGTAAGCAGGAGTTTTGACTACTGATCTTCAAATTAAGATTTTCTAGTTGAATAAATTTTGTTTTGCAACTTTGGTTTTCCGAATGTGATAACAAGGGAATTTTCATTTCAATGAGTGAGAATATAAATCAAATTATTATTTGAAGTTATTAACCAATAAACATCAGGAAAATGGAGAGAAGTTTTTCAAAGGGGTCCCTTTTCTGTTAGTAATAAGAATTTGTGTAGTCATTTTCATTAAAGGCCAGCCTATAACAGGTGAAAGATCTTGTGGAAGAACAATGTTGATAGACTTTCGTCAAACTAATATTTCCCTCATTTTCTTCAAAATAATTTGTCATTTTGAAAATATGAACGGATGTTTATGCCTTAACCTCCCTAACGAAAAGGAAGTTAGCAAACCCATTATAGTGCCTTAGATGCTGAGTTGTTCATTCATAACTGTTGCTGAATTTTGTGATATCTTGTATGGGTATGTAATTTCTTTCTATGCAGAATAAAATGTAAGAAAAAAAATATTTGATTCTGGTTTTTCTAAGATGTGCAGGAAATCACGGAAAACAGCACCACCATATCGTGTAATATTGCACAACGACAACTACAACAAACGGGAATACGTTGTTCAAGTACTGATGAAGGTCATCCCTGGAATGACCCTTGATAATGCAGTTAATATCATGCAAGAAGCACACTATAATGGGTTGTCAGTGGTGATCATCTGCGCACAAGCTGATGCCGAAGATCATTGCATGCAGCTAAGAGGCAATGGGTTGCTCAGTTCAATTGAACCTGCAGGTGGTGGCTGCTGATGAACAGTTTCACTTCAAGTTTCCCTAAGTTTTATGCTATTGAAAGATGAGATGGAGCTGTTAGCAGGTGTACATAAGTTCCCATCTTGAAGGCTTAGAGAAACCAGAAAAGAAAAAGACATCTTGCCTAAAACTTGGCCTTATGATTTAAGATGACCGAATCTATGATTAAGACATGTCATAGTTGTGATTTTGAATAAAGATTTGCACAACGTATGAAAACTCATAGCTGATGAATGATTGGTGGATGCGTGGAAAACATATAGATTTAGGTCCTTTAATGTTAGTTTTTCTTTAATAGAACCCTGCCATGTTACTTGCTAATAAAAGGATCTAAATATGTTATTTATAGGAATCAGCCGAATAATTCACAAACCTTTGTGGTTTTTAAATAATGGGTTTTAAAACTACAAACATCCCTTGATGAATGATCGATCAATTTACCAGCTTTGCAATGTTACCTATTTGACATAGTGATAGTAATGCTACAAGTTGTGCTCATAATTTTAATGATTCGAACATAACAATTCACCTCCTTCAGGCCCTGACGAAAAAAAATGAATTTGTTCTATTTTCTAGGTAAAAAAATTTTTGTGGATATTTGTCAAACTTGTTTAATATAAATAAAGTCTATTGGATTAACTAAAAAAACTACGAATTTAGAAGAAGAGATAACCTCAAGTGTTTCAAGCTCAACAATAATGATCTGTAAATAGTTATATATATATATATATATATATATATATATATATATATATATATATATATATATATATAATGTTTTATTTAAGAAGAATATTTCGATTTTATTTCATCATAAAATAATATTAAATTTATGAATGTACTAAATCATAGTCTTTAATCGATAGCGGTCTTAAATATACATTTATTCCCTTAACTCGCACAACTGGAGGTCCAGTTATTTGACCGGTAAACCTAGCATGTGCATTGCATAGTTATAAAATGCTTCATAATTTCTCTTAATTACAAATATGCTTTACAAATAGTTTTAAGCTCATGAGTTTCGAGTTTAGAACCTTGTTAAATTATATTTTAATTACTTTTGAGACTAGTAACGATTTTCAGTTGATCACACACGTCAATAGTACATTAAGATAGTAATTTAATATTACATATTCTAATAATTAAAATTTAAAGGTTAAATTGCTTTTTTAGTTTTTTATTTATTTATGGTTGAATTGGTATTTTTTTCTCTATTTTTAAATGATTTAGTTTGGTCCTTTATTTTTCTGTAAAATATTAACGTTTTTTCTATCTAAAAATTAAGTTGACACTATTATAATTTTAAACAATTTAAAAAGTAGAGAGAAATCCCAAGTTCGTCAATAAATAAATGAATAAATGAGAAGAATTGATATTTTTTTTATAAAACAAACCCTTCGAGTAGGGTAGGATTAATGATTTATAACATATCCCTTCAGAAGCTCAATAAATGTACTACCGTGGACATTTTTATTTTTCTATATCATTATGTGATGATTTTGGAGGGGTTTCTGGTAGAATTTCGATCGATTTCGACTTCCGAGATACTTTGATATTAACCAAAATTCTACCATGTAAGTTCTTTTTACTTAGGCTAGCAAATTAATCTTCAATCGAAATGCATATGAGGATCGAATCTTACCAAGTATCAAAAATGCTACTTTTTGATGTTTTATATTTAAGATGCAGAAAGCAATGAAATGTCAAATCGAAAATAATACAGAATATTAAATTGCTGAAACTCGTAAAATGCAGAAACCTTAACAATACGTTAAATGTAAATGACAAGAGATCGAAAGAACAGAAATGTAAATAGCAAGGAATCAAGATAGCAGGAAATACACTGAAAATCGAAATTGCATTAATGTTAAAGGACAAGGAAACTTAAACACAGAAACTTAACTTTGCTTGAATTGAAATGACAGAGAATCGAAAGTAAAACATAAAATTGCTGAATATAAGGTGCATCAAAACAAATTACCAAGGAAAGTAAAGAAAGCGGTAAAGGTATTCGATGAGCATTGAAATCCAGATTGCCAGAAGCTTCATGGTGTTCGTCATTTCCGGTAGACTTCTCACTACTGATTCTGTTCTTTGCCAATTTTCTGCCCCCATTCCTTCCTCCTCTGCTCTATTTATAGGGCATCATTCAAGCCTTCCAGGAGTAGTTAACAAAACTGCTACCATGTTCTTCGTGCGCGTTGCAGTTTCTTCTTCTGTGGTGTCAAAACTGCACCTACGTTCCCATGATTTTCAACCTTTGCCACGATTTAGAAACTGTTTCCTATGTGCGTGTTTAACTCCTTCTCTTTATGATCTGACCACGATTTTGATATTTATGCGGGTTAACCTTTCTTTCGATTTAGACTTCGATTTTATCGAGAACTTTGGATTACTTTTGATTCCTTTTAACCTTAGCATCGTATACTTCTACTTTCTTGGTTTGTTCCACAATAAAACTTTTGACTATTATTTCTCCGATTCCGACTCTAACTTTCGATTTTATGTGTCATGCCTTTCTAATTGGACATCGAATGTTTGCTCATCCACCCTTTTGCTTTACCGATCAATCACATGTTTCTCGATTTTTCTTTCCTTCATTTTTCGATCGCTTTTCTCGATTTCCTACTAACAAAATGCCCCCTTGGAAGAATATAAATAGTTTCTGTTTATATTCTTTCAACATGATTCCCGCCTTTGCTTGTTAGAGGCCCACAAAACTTAGGGTTTAGGGTTTTTGGGGTTCTAGGGTTTACAGGGTTTTCAAGTTTCCTTTTGCTTTATGTCGCCATCGCGTCAGTCTGCTGTCTTACTGTACACGCTACATTAATTACCTTTCACCTCCGTCGCTTCCAGCCCCCTAGGTTATTTTCCCTTTAAACTCTCTATTGGTTTTTTACTTTGGTTTTTTACGCGAACTTTTACCTCTTTGCAACTTTGTCTTCCTCCTTGAGCTCTTATCTTCGTCCTTGCTACCTCACCTTTTAACCTCTATCCTTCTGATTTCCTCAGTTTATTATAATGGCAACCTCATCTAAGTCTTCTAATTTTTCGGCTCCACCTCTTCCTTCGCTAACGGCTCCCCTTCTGGAGATAAATAACCAGAAGTTTGCTCCAGTCCCTCTGATGGAGGAGGCTTCTCAGAAAATCGCTGAGACGCAGGTACTCATCCCTTACACTGCTGATGGTGTTAATTTTGCTTTTGGGGGCCCTATCCATTCTCATGGCGGATCTTCCCTTAACCTTTCCCCAAACAGCCCAGCTCTTGTCCACCAATCTCAAGTTAGGGTTGATTTTTTGAATCTTACTTCTAGAGTATATCGAACTGGCCCTCCTTCCAAAAAGCCTTTATACATTAGATGGTTCGATATAGTTAAGACTAAATTCGGGAATCATTGGAGAGCCGTGGGGATTTACAACTTCTTGCACTTGTCTCGATGTGACCTATCTCATTTGGATATGACCATGTTTTTATCTGCTGTTCATTTATGGAATAAGGAAATACATGCTTTGGAATTACCTTGCGGTCCTCTTTCACCCACTCTGTTCGAGGTTGCTGCTATCACTGGTTTAAAACCTTCGGGGGAAAGATATTTTAAGGGTGCATGTCCCTCGGATAGTTCTTTAAGGTCTAAAATCGATTGGGAATCGAAAGCCTACGGACATTTCCTCGAGAAGCATTTTGTTGATGACGAATCGGTCGTTATTACTGATGAAGAACACATAGTTTTTTTGGTGTACTGGTTATGTACCCATGTTTTCTGCCCTCGATCTATCCAAATTTCCTCCCACTTCTATGACCTTGCCTATCTTCTTCATATAGGTCAACCTAGAATAAGTTTAGCCAAATTTTTGTTAGCCCATGTATATACTACCTTTGATGAAGCCGTCGAGATTTTGAGTGCCTCCAAAGCTTCGGGAAATTTTTCTGGCCCTATCTGGTTTATACAACTGTGGCTTAACTCGATTTTTGAGAGCATCCTTCCCCCGACTTCTACCATCCCCCCGAGTGTACATATAGAAGGTGTTCGATTATCTTTTCGTCATCCTCACCACAAATCCGACGAAGCGACTTACTGTAGATATCTAAAATTTTTGTTAACTAGGCTTCGCTTTGATTCGACTTTGGCTCCTTTTGTTGCGCATCTTGGACAAATCAGTGATCAACTTCGAGGGCCAACCTGGTTTACATCGAAATTTCCTGCCTTAACACCTGGGTTACAATCAGAGTTGGTAGATGTATGGAGTAATTATTTGACTCAGGATGTGTTAGTATCGGGTTTCCAGTTGAAGGATTTTAGGTTCATCCCTTACTACCCACAACTTTTTTCGAGACAATTTGGTTTGAGCCAATCTTTACCTTTCTTCCCCCTCGATCCCTTCCCAAAGTCCAAGTTAAATGAGTCGACAATCGGACGGGAGTTGGCTAAATTACTACCACAAACCCCACTACATTTTTATCCCTATGTTTTTGAGTCAAATTTTTTATCAACTGTGGGTTTCTCTCAATGGTGGGCCGATTGGTTCTCGAGTAACCATTCTGCTTTTGACGAGGTCCGACAAAAATTGACTGCTCATCCTTCTCTTGTATTGCAGGACAAATCGAAAGCGAAGAAAGGTACACACTTCCACTGTCTTCAAATATCTCGATTCGAGAATTTTTATCAAATATGTTACAACCCACTGAAATTAGAATCGACCTATTACGATGCTGTTATCTCCTTATCCAATAAAACAGACACTAATCGATCGAACCACAAAATGATCAATCCTCTAGGTAGAACCCCTTTTGAAATGTATTGCCCAAATCGACTTCCCACTTTTCCCACAACTCCTTTTGGACTTGTCAAACCTTTAACTCATCCCAAATGGGTTCGAGAATTAAGAACCTTGAGAGAAACACTCCGTCCTAAACCAAAAAACAAAGATATTTCTGTATCGAAATTATCTTATTTCCCTTACTTACATCTCCCTCAAATTCTCCTACCATCTTGGCT